TGGATGAGAATCGAATTGCATATAAAGTATTAATTGGTAAACCGGATGGGAAAAGACCATTGGGTAGACCAAGACGTAGATGGGAGGATAATATTAGAATGGACCTTAACGAAATGGGGTACGAGGGTCACAAATGGAGGGATCTTGCTCAGGGACGGGAACAGTGGCGAGGTTTGGTATGTGCGGCAATGAGCTTTCGAGTTCCTAACGCCTAATAATAATAATAATATACATATATATATTTGGTGAATTTCGCTATGATACCTTAAAAATCCATTCTTTGAACAATAAAGAGTTTTACACATACTTAATCCTGTTTCCATTTGTACATTTTTTGAAATTTTGTGAAACATGGACGGTTCACTTGATGCTACGAATGCTTCGAAATATTTTTTGATTGGTCAATTAGTAAAATTCTTCCTTCTTTGATTGGTCAATCAAAAGTTTCGAAGCATTTGTAGCGTCAAGTGGACCTCACCCATGATAAGAATAAAAAGGATGACAAATTGTACATTAATCAAAGAGTTTTGATTAATGTACAATTTCTTACTGAATTTCTTACTGAAATTTTTATCATGACGTCATTTTTATGATGAAAATTTCAGTAAAAAAAAATTATATGTGCTAAAGTTTTTATTTATTTTTGTATCCAGTAAGCAAAAACAACATCATTTATACTTAAAAACTACCTTACATATTCCATATTCCCTAAAAAGGTGATTTATGTTACGAAAAGAATTTTTTTATTTCTTAATCAATGTTATCGAGAATCTGAAAAATATTAATAAACAGAGAATAATTGTAAAATAAAATCCGTTAAACAATTTTTAAATATCTTTATTAAATTATTAAATAAAATATATGAATAAATTACATGTGTGAATGTAAGTAGTTATATGCGAATGTAAAAATACAAAAGAATTTCCGAATTAGCAATCTATAAATTTTAAAGATTATTAAGACCACAGATAATTAAGGATCATGTAAGATTTATAAATTCTAAAGATCATCGTCTCCAGGGATTAACTTCAGCGGAGATTCACTTCATTGGAGATTCATTTTACGGGCGCTCGCGTTGAAATTTTTCAATAAAACAGATTCTACTGAATGGAGGTCACTGTAGATTTGGATTTCGCGAAAACATTCGGCTGTGTCGAAATACATGTGAAAACAAATTCAATCCGCGCTATCGTCAAGGGAGAACGCTGAAACTCACCAATAGATGAAGGATGGTGGTTCCGGCGTTTGCAGTACGATACAGGTCAGATTGATGTCGCTTCCGCTTTTGATGTAGAGCTCCGAATTGCCGTTGATCTTTGCCTTCGAGACTGCACACGAGGACAGAACAAAGTTAAAGTGGTTTTTAGCCATAGAGCGCACGCGGGTCGTCGAGTAAAGCCCGGACTAAGAAGTATGATCGCAATTTCGGTTTGAACCGCCGCAAAGCTGCAATTAACTCATGTCGAACCGCTCGAAACTGGCCATTTAAAAATTCACTTAAGAAACAAAGGACTTTTAGAAAGTGTTATTGAACACAGCTGGGAATTTGTAATCGCGCGCGCTTAAAACATAATCCTTAAATCTTCATTCTTATACTGATTTTTGTTTATTTCAATTAAAGAAAATCGCAAACATAAATCTATCATCTTTTCACTTATAAAATTTATTACTGTTTTTAAATTATTCCATCATAATTCACTTTCAATTATAATTCCAATTATTCGATTATAATTTATTTCTATAATTTTTTATCTCCTTCTAACGAGGTTATTTAATCGAAATCCTGTAGAATTTGTATATCGATTGAATCTTATTTGTCATGAAAAGAGAGATATGCATACGTACCTACTACACTCAAGTTGAAAGCTTGACTAATTTTGGGTTCCGTCGAGACCTGGCATTCATAGATTCCGCTGTCTCGCACTTGCGGTGAACTAATTTTCAGAGTCCACTCATCGCTGCCATCGCTGTGCAACGATTGAAAACGTTGGTCGTTCGTGTATGTTAGGATGCCGACAGTGAGGATGTGCAAATCTCGCTGCCTGATCCACGAGACCTGCGCAATCAAGAGGCCCGCTGTTATAGCAGCAAAATACACCAAACTGAACATTCAATCGAGAAATCCGACTCGTTATGCCGCATAAATTCTGTGCCATGTCTCTAATGTGCATTTCGCACGTTCTTGAAAGTATCACAATGTAAAAAGTGAGGAAAGTCGCAAAATTATATTTCGTAAAAGATACTAAGATTTTTAATTCTCCGAAGCTGACGCCAAAATTTGTAATACAATTACTGACATTAGGTCTGTAAGACTCATTAAATTTATATCTATTAATTAAAACATCAATTAATTTCAAAGAATCAAACTGACATAACTAATGTTGTTATTTTCCTGGAAAATTTAAATTTCGTCGAGGAAGAAACCTAATTTTTTCCAGATTTTTTTCTAGAAATGAATCCCTTAGAAAACAACAATTGTTTTTCAATGCTTTTTCATTTCTTTTTACTCTAATTTAACTTCCTTTTAAAAATCTCCATTTATAATTATCAAAGTAAAATAGAGTATATTTTTAAATAGTAATATTACATATATATAGGAAAAGATGTAACTACGTTAACATTATCTGCAATGACATACATTGCCAACTGCAGAATCACTCGATTATGTTAATTCTAACGATAGTACATAACACATTATTTGTATTGGGGATGCTATAACATTTAAAAGATTTTAATTAGCTTAGCTCTCAATATATAATAATTGAAAGTATAATTTTAGATAAAGAATATTCTTGTTCATTAAAAGTTCCCTCAAGTATATATGAGAACATTTTTCCATTATTTCTCGGTTTTTCTTGAGGTTTTGTTCTTGTCTTACAACAAACTTATAGATACAACTCGTAGAGATATAACTCGTAAAAAAGACTAAATACTAACAATAAGTATATTCTAACAAAAATAATCTAAAAAGAATATGCGTGTAAAAAGGGGAAGGCTTTATTTGCCTACAAATTGATTGCTTATTACAGTATACCTATATCGCATTTGTCGGCTATTCGTTTGTGCACAAAGATTATTGTCTACAAATAGATTGCTTTATACCCACACTAATGATTATAGGTTGCATTTGCGTTTGCGTTTACGTCTCTTGATCAGTCAGAAAAAAACTACCAGCAGCTTCTTTAAAATTGATTAAGAGACGCAAATGCAACCTCCAATCGCTAATATGATGCATTATTGCGCATAAATATAAAATTAAGAATTAAAGGTATATTTACATACACTATTATTATTTGTATTATTTGTATTACACACTTATTATTGCTTTAAATTAGAAAGTATTTGTGAGATTTTTTAAAACTAAAAATAGAAAATAATCATTATTAGATCACCAGATCCAGGGAAAGTTATGAAAATCAGGATTTATTGTTTATTGTTGAAATAGATATATTGAAATAGATATATTATATAGTGTTTTTTAAGTTTTGAACTCTTGAAGTAAAATTAATTGCATATTTATGTCTTGAAAGGCGAATAGTTGTAGAGAACATAATTTTTTGTTCATATAACGTACAGAGTGCATGTTTTGTTTGAATACCACAGGTAAATATTTTGAAGCAAATGGAAGATATGAAAGTTCCAATGGAAGTTGTACAATTTGAAAGAGAACAAATAAAATGGTAAAATTAATTTAAGAAAAATGAAATCTTCAAAGTTGTATCAAGGTTACTGTCATTTCTT